GAGCGGGGCGGGGCCAGTGTGCGTACGCATGCGCAGAACGTGAACTGCGGGAGAAAGGGCGCCGGGATGGAGGGGGCGGGGCGCAACAATCTCGCGGCGTCGGGCGTCCCGTTGCCTGGGAAATCCACTGCGCAGGCGGGCGGCGCCCGGGGCCTGCTGCTCCAAGGAACGTGCTGCCCGCTTCTCAGCGTTAAGGGAGTTGAGCACCAGCAGCATTTTGATGCGGCAAAATGTTTCGCAGCTTCTGTTATAGGGATCTCTGGTGAGAGGAGGTGCCATTCGAAGACGGAACCGGAAATCCTGCTAACTTCGTAGGGTTATGGAGCTGATTTAACGAGATGGCATATGAAAGGGGTTTAGTTCAGAACCTGACACGGAACAGGTGTTCAATCGGCGTTGTTATTGTAGTGATTCAGATGTGACGAACGCCAACGTCTCTGGAAAGAAAGAAGCTCAGCGAGGGCTAGGACGCCGCCTGGCTGGCGCAGGTACTGTAGTACCTGGCCTGTTAAATGCTCAGTAACCTAGTTTAATGTATGAATACCACCTGCAAGGTTGTTTATTGCTTAAATTGGACAACCTTTGTTTCCAAGTCTTTGAAATAATTTGTATCCTTAACTATTTCTGTAGTCACTGTTAAACTTTGAACTCAAATGCCTCCCATGAAGGCAGCAATACAAAACATGACAAGTTGGGGTTGTTCTGGAGAATCCAGGCTAATCAGTAATCTGGGCCCATTATATGCATCCACCCTTATATGAGAGTTTCACTTCTTTCACTACTTTTTCTTAACCCTTCTAGCTCATAGTGATCAGTCCCTTTAAAACTCTGTTTATTGTTTGTTCTGCATATGCACCAGTGAATATTTGTCCTTTTTACCAGCAAATAAGTCATTGGAAGTCGTTTTTGTCTCCATTGCACCAGTCAGGCTCTGTTGAACCATTTGTTAATCTACAAGTTCTATGGCTACCTATATGGAAATCTATTTACATTCATAGGACTTTACAACTTGACTTGGTTCCATTTTTACAGTTATATTTGCTTTCTCTGCCTTATTCTATAGGAATTAGTTAAATATCATTTTACAGCTTGCTTCTTAGTTATGTAGTCATTGAAATGCTATAGTCCCATCTGCTTTTATGGTTCCCATATGAAGGTGCAGTGCTTTTTTTACCCGTGCACTTGTATATTTGAACATTTTGTTGCTTGCTTTATACTTGCTTTCACTGAAACGAATACATTTTTAAAAGGTTATGAGATTTTGCTTTTTTTTCAGTATTAGTTTCACATATCTACAATTTGTAATTTCCCATTGGATATTACTATAGAATGTATTTTATTTACACGAGCAAATTAACGTTTCCTTCTACAAACTACTTTAGAAAGACTTTCAATAAAGTTAAATGAGATATAATCAGCTGTTAAGAGAAAGTTCCTCACAGAATGGAACACATAGCAAGATATAAATTTGCTTTATTTAAAAGAGAAATTTAAAGCAAAAGAGTCTAAAAGCTTGAAATAGCAAAGATGCCCTAAATAAACTTACCACTGAAAAATGACAAAAAAGGCTGAATATGTTAAAGAATGCATTGCTATGCTGGTAAGAAAGTAAGAAAATGCCTAAGAGGTAGATGAAGTGAATGAATGAATCCAGAGAGACCAGAGAACCCTTATGTAAATATTTACCCTGAAAAGGTCTACTGATTCCTAATGAACTTGAACTTATTTTTATAAATGCTGCATGGGGCTTAGGAGCAAGGAGACAAAAACAGTACCCAAAGAGGAGACCCACACACAAAGCCAGAATGCCTTACACCTTAAGCAAAAAGAGAACAACAACAGTAACAATAAAAAGCAAAATAAGCCCAGAAGAGGGGCATGATAAGAAAACTTGCCTGTCACAAACTATATGCTAGGTAGAAGAAAAAAATACTTCCTATGATATTAAAAAAAAAAACCCCTCAAGCTAATTCTTTTAAAGTGGTTACTAGTCAGTACTGATAAATCACCTGGAATTAAAACTATACTATGCTTATTCTATTTAGACCTCAATTAGTACCTAAAATTCCACTGAACATAAGTTCAAGCTAAAAATCACAAAACATGCGAATCTAAAGTACCATGAGTGATTGCCAGTAGAAAAACACAGCAGAATCATATCTATAAATGTTTTAGATGCTAGAATTATGTGATACAGAATGTAAATAAACCTATCCCTTATTAATATTTTTAATTCACCTCTGTAAACCCCACTGTTAGGTGAAAAGCCATTAAATTTAAAAACATTTAATTTTAACTGGAAAATCATGATGTGGTCTCTCAAAATTCAGAAAACTAAGCAATTTCAGACAGCAAAATGTATCAGTTTTTTCCACAAAGATAAGTTTATAAAAATAATAAACAATTGGAAACAATAAATATGTACAAAACCATAATGCAATGAAGGCTTATTGTAAACTTTCTTTTCTTCCTGCTGTATCATTTTCTTCACTCATTTTTTCCAGACTTTTGGGGGGCTTAGTTATTTTACACTCAAAGATATTGCATTTAAAGTTACAGCACAGAAAAACACATTTTTTTTTTTTTTTTTCGTTGGAGTCTCACTCTGTCGCTCAAACTGGAGTGCAATGGCCGCTCCCAGCCACCGCAGCCTCGCCTGCTGGGCTCCGGCGATCCTTCCGCCTCAGCCTTCCAAGTAGCTGGAACTACAGGCACACGCTATGCTGCCTGGCTAATTTTTTGATTTATTGTAGAGATGAGGTCTCACCAAGTTGCCCAGGCGGGTCTTGAACCCGCGGGCTCAGGCAATCCACTCACCTCAGCCTCCCAAAGGCATGGGATTACAGGCTGAGCCACCAAGCCTGGCTAGAAAAACACATTTAAAACATGTAGTGCTCCTGTAACTTACAAGGACTTAGAGGACCTGGCTCATTGCAACCCCTTTAAAATAATCAGTTCCTACTCTCTGCTGGGAGAGAGCTCTGGTCCACTGACTTCTATTCAGTTATTCACATTCCAGACTGGCACCCTCTGCTACTGTTCACCTGACTGGTTTCTTTTCAACATTTGAATTGCTTCTTGGAGAATGGACTCCATAAAGCCCTCCCTTACTACCCTATGGAAACTGGTCTCTTTTCTCTTGTACCCCCATCCTCCATCTCTTTCCTCTGGCCATACTGAAGGACCTTGATGGAAGATCTGCAGATAGGTGTGGTTCTATATAGATAAGTGAAAGAGCAAAAGGTGGAATATACTCAGTGGAATGATTCTGGAGGCCTGCTCAAATTGGGAAGTCAAAGCTGATTGCAATAGCCTTAGGAAAAGGAAAATATTCATTGGTCAATGTTCAGAGAATAACAGCAATCTGAAGACCAGCTAGGCCTGTGAATATTATTTGCTACTGTCATTAACAGATGCTTTAGAGATGCCAATTAACTCAAGCTGTAAGGGTGGATTACTTTCTTTCACCTAGTCCAAGGATTCCCAGGAATGTGGTATGTGGTCAGTGTACCACCTCCTTCTCCCTGAGGCAGGGTGACCTTAAAAGGAGCAACCTGGACTTGGACTCTAGACCATCCCGAGAAGCTGACATGTATGTCTACTTGTCGAACTCACTTCCAGGACCTCCAAGATGACCTTATTATGTGTGCTTACAGACGGGCAAGGATGCTTTTCTCTCACACCAAAGGCTGGCATTTCCAAAAACTTCTGTGCCTTCAACACCTAACCCAATATCTGGCTCACACATGGACTCTGGCATTTATGAAGGGCATTCTACATGCTGTGTAGAAAATATATCAGACAAGAACACTTGATTGATGTACAGTCTCCCGAGGTGGTTTGTCTGCTATAGAACTTGAACACTCCCTTGTAACTGGTGGGCAGATACAGGTAGCACATCCTGCTGGATAGAATTCTGTATGTGTTTTGTGGAATCCATTCCATATATTAGTTAGTTATGTAATTAAGATTTAAGAAAATCCTTTAATATTTTTCTTTTAGTTGTCTTACTTAAAATGCTGAAGGGATCTGTGTATCAAATTATTTCCCTAAGAGTCACTTTGGGTGTTAACAGAGAAACTATGATTTGAGTCAGTGATTTTGTCCATCTAAGTAGCCATTTCTCAGCCCCAGAAACCCGAAGTGTGAGATGATGCTCCAGCTTACCTGAGGCTTAGCTCTGCTATTTGCATAATTTTGGTTCCAAGTTTCCTTCTTACTTTCACTGATGGAGATTGGGGGTTGAGTCAGCATGTGCTAAGGGAATGGTTAAATGGGTCAGATGTGTTGTTTGCACTGCTTGATTTTATGGGTTTGTATATCCCACTCCATTTCCCTGTACGAAAAGCCTAGGTTAGCTCAAGTGGGTACCTGGGCTTGGGTGGCAGTCACTCTAGAAAGCCCCTCAGCCCAGCATTCTTTTAGACATCACCTTCTTAAGAGCAGGGATTTTCTGTGCTCTCAGATGATCACAAAGAGAAAATCGCAAGATGTGGAAAACAGTCTTTCTAGGAAAGTGTATGCATTACTCCTATCCACCCCTGTCATCCCCACCTCACCCCCATGGCATTTTCCTGTATCTTTGAATAAACTCAAAAGAGATCCTAAGTAAAACCAGTTCCTAAAATCACTTTGTCCCTCCAACCATCTCCAGTGGACTGAACTCAGAATTCTATCTTGAAACAAAGAGGTTAAAAAATCAGCTAGTAGTGTTATGTTGAATGAAATATTTCATATGCTATTACTTTAGCTTTAACATGAAAAATAATTTATAGATAGATTTCAGAGAAAACCGTAAGTTCATAATATTCCAAAATTTGACTTGTTAAAGGCAATATTAATAGCCTACTGCTATATAATATTCATTTCTAAGCTGTTAAAATACAGAGAGCTAAACTCAGACCTGGACATTTTTAAATCATCATATTTCTCTTTATGTTCACAAGATCTCATTAGCCATCTCAGAAATCCTCCAAGCACTGACCTTACAAGAGCAAAAATAGAAAAATAGTTATTTGCTTAGTGTATACCCAAGATTAATTTGAAAATTAAATTTGACTTTGGTCTCATTAAGTAGGAGTATTACATCCTCAGAGTCAAAGACTAACAAAAACCTCACTTTTCTTCTTTCGGGAAATTAACAGCTACTAAAGCAAAAAGAGGGATGAGGAGATATAAATATAATAACTTTTAACTAGTTGACCAATTAAAGAGAGGGTTAGCAAAGATAATTAAAGTTCACTGATAATTTCAAATTTTTGTTTTAAAAAAGTTTTTTTAATGCAAAGAGGTAAAAAATAAGAAGTAAAACTGACATCAATTTCAAATACTTTTCCTCTGCCAATGGTCCAAACAATTAGAGATAAAACAAAAACAAAAGCTTTGGGAATTAATAGACTGGATAGTCAGATTTAAAATCACTAAGGGCTGACTATCTGTACACTTTGATATTAGAAAGCATATACTATGGCTTGCTGGAAGGGAGATTAAACAGCTGGTGATATATTACACAGAAAGAAAAGAGGAAAGGAAGTGTGCAGAGAAAGCTATGAGTTCCCTGGGTCCTCAAATATTCTATCACTAAAGAAAAGTAGCTGCATGAAAGTGTGACAGGGAAATAACACTAGCCCCTGGGCTCACTGCAGAAGGGGAATTGGCCTTTGGTTCCAATAATTCAGGGTGCTGTGGGGGAGACTGTCTTCTCAGTGGAGGGAGGGGAAGTTTGTGGTGCTCAGAGCAACAGCCCTTGGCTCTTTGAAACTTTGAGCTCTGAAAAGTTCTCTGTATAGCAAGAAGTGGAGACTAAATTCATCTTTAAAAAGGCCTTTCCTTTGTTAAGAAAACCACCCTAAGGTGTCCTTTAGTTATAAGAACTGAAGCAAAACTTCACTGGACTTAGTGTTTTGGGGGAACACCGTGACACTGAAATTAATCTGAAAGTATCTATTCTAGAGTTAGGCTGAGTAGCCAAATGAGCTGCTGTGTTAGTAGTTGCATATAGTTGAGTCATGATGTAATTTGGTATTAAAGTGCCTGCCTAAATGTAGTAGCTCAGAGTTTTCCTAATTCCAAATGAATATTTATTAAATTGAAGTAGTTTAAAATTAAAAAGCTTTGGCTGGGTACAGTGGCTCACACCTGTAATACCAGCACTTTGAGAGGTGGAAGTGAGAGGATCTCCTGATCCCAGGGGTTCAAGACTAGCCTGGGCAATTTGGCGAGACCTCATCTCTACAATAAATCAGAAACATTAACCAGGCTCTATGGTATGTGCTTGTAGTTCCAGCTGCTTGGAAGACTGAGACAGAAGGATTGCCTAAACTCAGCAGGGTAAGGCTATGGTGGCCATGAGTGTGTCACTGCACTCCAGCCTGGACAACAGAGTGAGATTCCAACACAAAATAAAATAAAATACAATTAGAAACTTTAAAATAGAATTAAGAACTAGAAATCCAGATAATGGGAAGACAATTAATCCAAAAAGCAGATGGAATTAATTATCATTTTCCTCTTGACTCCATGTTATCCATATATAGTAAGTTCCCTACATATGAATGAGTTCTGTTCTGAGAGTGTTTTCGAAAGTCCAATTTGTTCATAAGTCCAACCAAGTTAGCCTAGGTACACAACTAACACTATTGGCTATCCAGTACAAGCTACATCACTGCTGCGTTTATACTTGCTTCTGGACACCCTGGGCTTAAAATAAAGATACTGTACTACTGTACTCTATACAGTACTGTAAAGTATACAAAAGCACAACCACTTGTAGAGGATGCATGTACATGACAATGTACGCCAGACATGTGAACTAACTTATGTGACTGGACATGCCAGTACATGTTTCCATCTTTGAAAGGTCACAACTTGAAGGTTCGTTATATAGGTGACTTACTGTAAACAGAAATTTCTCTAAAAAAATTTTGTGAAATGAATAACTTAGACCTCATGACTCCTAGAGTTTTTGTCTGGGCTCAGAGTAGGTACTTAAATACACATTGATTGATGTGAGATTTTATTTGCTAGGAGAGAGGTTAGTTCATCTGAAATTCCCTGAGAAAAGAATTCACTGTTTAGGGTGGAATTGTCTTAATGGACACACCCTGATTTGATGAAGGGGCACTAGCTACAGGCTTCCAAGTTTCCATCCTTTAAGCCAGTGAAAGAAAGGAAATCCAGGCTCTTCAGTTTAGCTTCAGCATTCTCAGTAAACTCCCTGGAGGCTTTCTGCAGTGGAAGCCGGGGTGGACCCATTGGAATCCCAGAGACCAAAGTCATGATGGCTTTGGTCTGTGACACTCCAAAACCTGAACAAGAAAAAAGAAAAATTAGGAAATGTAACTGATACTTCTCCACACTTCTCCACAAGCATCCCAAAGAAGAGATCATATGCTAACAGTGATTACTACAACAGGATAAGGTGAAAATAAAAAATGGGAACATTTCTAGTCAATATGAACATATAACATAGGAAATCCCTCTTCCTCCTTTAAACACACAGAAATGCTGGACAATTTTACCAAACCAACGAATTGTAAAACAAAACAAAGACTCAGAGTCAATCTTAAACTCAAGAAGGAAGAACCAGGTTGGGCATGGTGGTTCATGCCTGTAACCCCAGCACTTTGGAAAGCTGAGGAGGGAGGATTATGTGAGCCCAGGAGTTTCAGACCAGCCTTTGCAACATAGTGAGACTTCATCTCTACAAAAAATTTAAAAATTAGCCAGGCATGGTGGTGCATTCCTGTAGTCCCAGCTACTTTGGAGGTTGAGACAGGAGGATGGCTTGAGCCCAGGAGGTTGAAGCTACGCTGAACTGTGAGTGTGCTACTGTACTTCACTTGGGTGACAGAGTGAGACCTTGTCTCAAAAATAAAAATAAATATAAAAATAAATAAGAAAGAGGAACCCAAGGTGTCAGAAATAAAGAGGGCAAAGCAGGGGGAAGTGAGGAGGAGCTAAGGTGAAATGCCTCTTGAGACTAATCTGATTGGGGAATGTACTGTTGTTGATCAAATGATGTATGATTTCATTGCTAGGACAGAATTTAGTTCAAGCTCATTTAAGAAATCCCTGCAAAATGCACTACTTAAAGTGAGTTAAGGATCAATGTTGCTATTTTTCATGTTGGTGTTATAAAGCTGGCACGGTAGTGGAAGATGAGCCTTGGGTCTGTTCATGATGAAACACTGGTACTAAACTCCCTGTATAAAACTGGTAGCCAGCCTTCCATGAAAAGCAATAGGAAAAAATTCCAGCCCACTGGCTTGGGAATAGAGAGACAAGGAAGCGTGAATTCTGCTAGGGCTATGGATAGAAAAAGACCCCATGAAAGAAATCTCAAACTGGGCCACAGTGAATGCTGGATCCAAATTTCCATTATGCACTTGGTATAGGTAACAGACTAAGAAATTAACTAAAGACTGGTTAGAACTATTGAAACTAAAGTGTTCTATCAGAAGCAAATGTAAACCAACTTGACAGGGTACCTCACAATCCAGGGTACAATGGATTACCCAGAAAATAACAATCTCTGAAGATAAGCTTAGAGCAAAAAAATTACAAAGTACGTGAGGAAAAGAAGCAGCACAAGAGCCAGTAAATTCACAAAATTCACATCCTGAGAACAGATGGTAGAAAATTCTGTAAGATACTTCACAGAGATAAAAAGAAGGAATAGAAAGCTTAAGCTAAGAGAAGGGCACATGAATAAATATTAGGTAGATTAAAGATTAGCCAAAAAGAAATACTGAAAATAAAATATATATTCAGGGAAATTATATAGTTGGAAACATAGCTAAAGAAAGAATTAGTGATTTTGAAGGTAGATCTAAGGAAATAATCTAGAATACAGCACAGAAAGATATGCTAAATATTTTTAAACATTCAGATACAGATTTGGGAAGATCCAAAATATATCTAATAGACTTTCAGAATAAGATACTTGATTGAATGTAGTCAAGACAATATTTGCAGATAGTAGCAGAAAATTTTTTCAAACTGAAGACAAAGCCCTCAGATTGAAGAAACAGATGAAAAACCAAGTGCACTATGAATACATGCAAAGCATAACTAATAATTATCGATCACAATCCCCAACCCCCATCTTCTAAAAATGTCTGTGATTTGTTTACTTATCTGGCTATTACTTTTGGATTCAACATAAGAGGTAACTTTCTTTTGCTAAATTAACTTGATTACAATAACAACTGAGCAATGGAAAGGAAAATACTAGCATGATTAAATATACAGTAGTCTCTCTTTATCTGCAGTTTGACTTTCCGTGGTTTCAGTTTCCTATAGTTAATGAGTCCAAAAAATATTTTGAGATAGAGAAATAGAGATGAGAGAGAGAGAGAAACAACATATTCATATAACTTTTATTGCAGTATGTTGTTACGATTGTTCTATTTTATTATATTATTGCTGCTACTCTCTTACTGTGCCTACTTTATAAATTAAACTTTACCATAGGTATATATGTATAGGAAAAACATAGTATATAAAGGGCTCAGTACTAGCCCAGGTTTTAGGCATCTACTGAGGGGGGTCTTGGAATGTATCCCCCGTGAGTAAAAGGGGAATGCTGTACACGGCAAACTTTCAGTTCTTCTAAAATTTTAATAGTTCAATATTTATTTCAATTTACTTTAGGAATATGTAATTATCACAAGAAACCCACAATTTTGTGTAAAGTATTGCTTAGGACAAGGGAACAATAATAGCTACTGCATAGCACTGGTGGCACACAAATAGGACAAAAATCGTGAATGTGGAAAAGCAAATGGAAACATTGTCTGATCGCTGGTTGAGAGAATGGGGGGCTTAACACATAGTAGGTGATAGGGGAGAGGGAGGAGTTGCCATGATGAGGCAGGAGGGCTCTGACAGGGAGTGGGAGGTCTGGCAAGAACAAACTTAAAATTTTCCCTGCACTGACCCAAGTTCAATTGGCCCAGGGGTAATCTTGCGGAGAAAAAGAGTGGATGGTGGCATTTGCCATGAAATCAGAAGTTCCTCTTCTCAAAAATCATTTTATTTCCCCTCAGTTTTACTTTGTCATATTAGCCAAACCTCCATCCATTTAAAGTTACTTGTGTTAATAAACTCTTTCTTAAATTGTAAATACTCCTGAGAGAGCTGTCAGTCATTCAGATCTATATTTAGACTGCCTTCCTCTAGGCACTTAGGCTGAAATCAGCCACAATGCAGTAGTAAAATTTCAATGAATAGAGGCAAGTAAAGAGAGGGAATGCTGACAGTTTAGGAAAGAAAAAATAGAAAATGTGGTGTGTATGTGCTAAAATGGAGAAGACTGGTCTGTAGAGGGCCGCCAAAGACCTTCTTTTTTAAAATTTATTATAGAGACGAGATCTTACCAAGTTGCCCAGGCTGGTCTCGAACCCGTTGGCTCAGGCAATCCTCTTACCTCAGCCTCCCAAAGTGCTGGGATTATAGGCGTGAGCCACCGCAGACCTTCAAGCTAGGTTTACTTCATAGTTTTACAAAGTTGGTCCTGCAGGTTAATAATGGAAACAGCACTCTGTTTGCAACGGATTATTAAAATGTGGTCTTGTTGAGCCCTCAAAAAAAGGGATGACCTTCCACTTCCTTTACACTCGTCAGTGACAGACAAAGCAGAAAACAGATGAGGCACTTACCTAGTTTGACCACAAAGTTGATAAATCTCTGGATACAAAACTAGAAAGGAACAAACAAATCTATAGTTGGAATTACTGAGCTGTGGAAAATAAAGAATTTAGAAGTCAAATTACAGAAACCTCAAAAGTCCGCACACTTTTGTTTTCTGAAGCTCTGTTCAAGAGGAGAAAAATAGGAAATTGAAGATGGCTGGGGTCCATCCAGGATAAAGTAAGAACTTTTTAGACATGTGGGCTTTACAGAATGGGCCCATGCAGTAAAAAAGTTTCAGTGATAGAATTGTATAAGTAAGTGAAGATGGGAAATGCACCCCATATCCCTCTTGGTTACATAGGTAAATTTATCAGCTAGCGCAGTGGTTTTCAAATTGGGGTACACATAGCTCTGGGGTACCTTCTGAGATGCCTCATGGGGCACTTGGCCAAGGTTAAGATTTATGGGAATCAACTACTATAAGTTGATACTCAACATCTGTAAGTGCTGGTTCCTAAAATTGGTGAGTATAAGAATGAACACATAATGGAAGTGCAGTCTGTCCTTTTCTATTTCCCCTTTCAGAATCCCTCTTTTCTGGCTTTTGAAAAAATAAATGCATACCTCCTATATCACAGCCTTGAGATAATTCTGGGGCACCAAAAAAAAGGAGCGAATGAAAATTGATAATTGATAAAGAGAGTGACAGTGATTCCTCTATTTAATGGAAAACAAATCCTCTTGAAAATTAGAGGGCTTTCAGTTCTTTGCTTTCAACATTTTGAAACAGGTTTTAACTGAAAAATCATTAAATGATCAGGCACTGGGTGATTTTGGCATATGACTCAAAAAATGTTCAAATAATTGAGTGATGCAGCTATAATAATATTTCTTTCATTCTCCTAATTTATATGAACATGGTTTTGTAGCATTTATTCCTTTAAAAAACACAAAAAAGAAATAGTATTGATGCTGAACCTTAACTCCATCCTGGCATTCAGTGCTATTTATCCATTAATTCATGAACAAACTAGTTAAAAACAAAAACAAAAAAAAGAGTCCCATCCATCTCATTAAAAAGACGCATTTTCAACATTTTACTTTTATGTTGAAAGTAGTTATCAAAATGTGTCATGTAATTATGTTGTTTTAATTGACTGTATACCAAAATTCAATATAGAATAGAGTTTTAAAACCCAGAGCCTTATAAACATATATGTATATGTTCTCCTTCCCACAGAAACTATAGCACATTACATTTACTAACCTGAAAAAAGAAGAAAAAACATTTAACATCTTATACTTCCCTGCTTGCTTCCATTTAACATAGTATGTAGATCTTTCCAGATCAGAATACATAAAGCTATCTCATTCTTTTAAAGAGCTATGTATAATTCATTGTATAACTTGAATATAATGTATTTAACTACTGCCTTATGGATAGATATTTGGGCTGTTTTCATCTTTTGCTATTATAAACAAAGTTGTAAGGAATATCTTGGTTCATATGCCAGGTAAGTGTAACAGATGGCATTTTAAGTCCATGAAAGTAAACGAGATAAGTTGAGCTCTAACTTTTTACTTGTCTGCTTCTTCACATGACTGAAGGCTCCTTAAAGGCAGAGACGAGCTTTACTGAAATTATGTAATGAACTCAGCCCCTGACATGAATAATGAGTAAATAAGACCTACCCACACTTGCCTTCTTAAGAAGAATCAGAGAATGTGGTAAATGAAGTTTCTTACCAACATTTTTTAATGGGATGATTTATTTGAACAGGACTAAAGGAAAAAAAAAAAAACCAATATGAAAACTGGATCAGCTAATAAGAGAAGCCACCAAGTGGAAGGGTAAACATTATAGCTGCTTCACAGTTTACTCCATCTAGGATTTCTCTGCCGTTCGGCTCAGAACAAGTTAGAGTTTTCAGAAACAATTTTTCTAGGAAGCTAAGGGGGGACAAACCATGAATGCAAGGAGATGGCAGAGTCTGCACAATTCAGACCTCTTATCTTAATTTAAACCAAAGTCTTGATATGACTTCCTAAATCCCTGTCCTGTTCCTGCTCTCAGTTTCACCTGGTCTGGGGATGGACAAAGGTAAATATTAGGTCAGTTATGTAAACTTTAAGGAGAAGTAGATTTATGCTGGCTCAACTTGGAGGCCTAAGGGTATGGAATAATTAATCCCTTCTGGAAATGGCTTCTTTGTGTTCTCTCTGGGTTGGAGTTGCAGGTTACTCTTTCTAACCCCCATGATACTTTGTACTTCTGCCTGTCCTGTTCAACAAAATCCAAGATTTGTACTTTATTAGGACTCACCCCTTGTTCTGATCTCACGTATGCCTTTCCATTCCCACTTATTTTCTTGAATACTCCTCAGCCACTTACACTAGCCTGAAAATCCCCATGCCTCTCAGCACCTCTCAGAAGTCTTGTTCTCATTCCTACCTCGTTTCCTTTCACTCCATTCCATCTATACTTTAGAACTAGCTGCTGAGACTGGTGCTACCCTTCAGTGAGGCTCTTCTTTCCTGGACAGCTAGGCTGTCCTCCAAGTAACATGAACAGCAGCCACCATTTCCACTGGAGTCTTCCCTGTAACATGTCAGATCTTGCTGCTTCTCTCTTCTGGTCTCAAAGCCAGTGTCTTCTTTTGGATCACCTCTAGACTCTTGTTTCGCCTGGAGGATGGTTTTCCAGTTCTCTGCACATTTCCAGGTTGAACAGGACTGAACTGTCCTGACTTTAGATCAAACCTTCCCCATTTTAGGTTACCAGCTTTAGAGCTTCCTCATGTTCTCGGATGATTCAGGTGTGATATCCTCAAGGGGATAGTATGTGGTCATTTTCCCAGAAACCTATGACCATTATTTTATAGTCACAACAGTTCTTTGAAGATAGAGTAAACATTAGATCCTTTCTAGGAGGAAGAGAGGAGTCATTCCCATATGGGGCCTGTCATGATTAGACATGTAGGGAACATGGACAATGGGGACAGGTTTGGTTTTAAATAAGAAAAAGTAAGAAACAGAAGAAAGGTAAAGAAAGGAGCAGCTAATGACAGCAGGTGTGGTAGGAATGCTGGTGAGGGAAAAGAAAGAGAATCCTCAAGTGGGGACTTATGGGAAGGAAGGGAGAAATTTACCTGATAGTTCAGGGCTAAAGAGAAGTCCTTTCGTTCAAAGGCCTCCAGCATCTGGTTTGTCTTTTTTCCCAGGTAGTTATAGGTACTGGCAAGACAACAACAAATACTGCAGGTTCAATAACTCCACAGGAAAAGTCCAGATCTTCAAACCCCTCTGCTATTTAAAAGGAGAAAAAATATACCCAGGTCTCCTGAAAGACTGTGTTTGGTCCTAATCTACTGGGGGACCAGGCTATCTTCAGTTCTGAGCATCCCAGTAATACTAAGCAGTGCTGCAGAGAAGGCAGAGAACACAGAAGGGGATGAAAAAAGGAAGAAAAACGGAAAAAGGATAAAATTAGAAAAAAAGAAAGTGAAAGACTAAAGTATATTTGGTAGAGAGTAATTGAGGTCAATACCTGCCCTAGGCCACATGCCGAAGTTCGATGCTTGATGAGAATTGTAGATAACATGTAGCATCTGAACTGAGTCCTAAAAGCCTTATGCTGAAATCCTGAGTGAATGGAGCACCACAATAAAAGGGGCAAATCCCAACAAATTACCTATATTCCTTATCTGTCTGTCTATCTATCCACCTACCTACCTATCATCAATCTTAGAGACAGTGTCTCACTCTATCACCCAGGCTGGAGTACAGTGGTGTGATCATACCTCACAGCAGCCTCAAACTCCTGGCCTCAAGCATTCCTCCTGCCGCATCCTCCTGAGTAGCTGGGACTACAGGCATGTGCCACCATGCCTGTCTAATTTAATTTCTTTTTTTCTTTCTTTGTAGAGATGGGGGTCTCCCTATGTTGTCCAAGCTGGTCTCAAACTCCTGGGCTCAATTGATTCTCCCGCCTGGACCTCCCAAAGTGAGGTGATTATAGGTGTGAGCCACTGCATCCAGCCTTCTGGTCAATTTATATAGATTACTTAGAGACTAGTTTCTAAATAGCAATATTAATAATTATATAATAATAAAATGAGGGACCATTTATTAAGTGCCTATTATATTACAGGTGCTTGACATAAATCATGTCTAATCCTCTCAAATCCCTGCAAGGTAGGCTTGCTTTCTGTTTTGCTCAAAGAGGGCTGCAGAGTTGCCACAAAAACTTTCCATCACTTCATGTCAGCTTCGATGACAATTCAACAAAAATGAAGGTGAAAATAAATGTTGATCTGATAAAATGTTCTTGTGGACTTAAAAAAAAAACAAAACTCTAACTCTACCTACAAAGACAAATATCTTAGACTAATTACAGAATTATCAGAGGAGTCAGTAAGGTAAAAGGCTATAGAAATTCATAATAAAGATATTTCCCCAATTTTTTAAAAGTCAAATGGTTTCTCACACAGTAAGTCAGTATCAGAAAATGGATTTATCTTAATGTACCAAGAATAGAAGTATTGTTGGACCTTGTACATATAGACCCTGGGTCAACAGCAAAGGATTCCAGTAATGTGAAGCTCATGCTATCTTCAGGTAATAAAATAAGAAAGAATCATGTCTGAGGAGCTCCAGAAAACTAAGATTTGAATCCCAGTGGTCTTAGATGTATCCTGAGTTAGAGACTGAGAGGTGATTACAACTAAGAAGGAATGATGTCTAACCAAAAGTACCTTGCTTATAGATTATGTTGACAGAATTAAAATGCCTACCATGGAGGCCAAAAAAACAGGAGTCAAAAAAGAAAGAATTTCCAAAGACAAAAAGGTTTTGAGGTCAGCAAATCCAGTATTCAGGTTTCCTTAGTAGAAATGTTCTTATAGTTACAACAGCTGTCACAGGTCACCCTGGCTTGGTGAACAAGCCACTAAGATTATCCAACTCAACCACTCTTCATCAAAGCCATGCTCACTAAGACATGTTATGAATGTTACTCTGCTTCCCTGATACTTTTCTTACAGTGAGGAAATGTACCTTAAAATAATGTAAATATTTCAATTAATCTGCTTGCAAGCATATTCTAATGAATTAAATTAATATGTGCAGTGGACATGCTAATTGAATTGCTTGCCTTTTACTAAATAGGCATTGGGCCATATAATTCTGGTTTTCTGGCCACAGTTGATTGGACCTGAAATGGACACCCGCCTAGGCAGTGCAATGTAACTGTATCCTGAGATGTCATGTTGAACAGCCATGATTAGCCATGTACATGCTGAAGCAGCAAAGGCCCATCTAAAGAAAGAGAAAAGAAATAAGGAGACGTGTAAAGAGACACAGAGGTTAGAGTCTCTGGAAGATGACAGATGGAGGATGACCCGCCTCGGCTATTGAGAACTTTGTATTTCCTGCTTTCACCTCTCTGAGGCCTGGCTACACATCCTCCTCTTGGATTCTATGTAATTTCCTACTGTTTTATAATAACTTATCCTTTTTTTCATAAGCTACTTTGAATGGGTTTCTGTTGTTTGTAGCCAAATAACTTCTGACAGACAGGGTGAGTCAGTCCTTGAGACACTGGTCCCCAGGTCTACAGCGCTAATGGTCAGAGCCTGCTAGGTTACAGCCCCTGTGTATACTATCAGCTCATGTGCTCATGGTCTCACCTCTAACTGCAACGGATACTTCTGAACAATGGTGGCTGAGTTTCTTTTTCTTTAATTTTAGATTCAGGGGGTACATTGCAGGTTTGTCACATGGGTATACTGTGTGATAGTAAGGTTTGGGTTTCTATTGAACCCATCACCCAAACCGTAAGTATAGTATCCAGTAGGTTAGTTTTTCAACCTTGGTCCTCTCCCTCCACCCTTTCCCCTCTTTAGGAGTCCCCAGCATCTGTTGTTTCCATCTTTATGTCTGCGTATAGCCAGTGTTTAGCTCCCACTTACACGTGAGAACATGTGGTATTTGGTTTTCCAAAATGACTGAGTTTCTAACAAACTGTTAAGACCTATTAATTCCCTTTCACTGGAAGAATATGGGAAATAGAGGTAACTTCTATTAGAAAAGATGCACATGCAAGAAGGGTAGCTAGTCCAGTGATGAATGCCTTTACGGAGGAACTTGACATTTATAATCATTGGGAAAAATGAGTCACACTTACCTGCCCACTGCTCCAGTTGCTCCCATCACTAGAGCACTCAACAGTTGCTAATTGGGAAACAGACAAAGAGTATTCACTTTTATGAAAAAGAGAAGAGACGCTATTATATAAACAGCTACACAACTTGTATTGGAAGGAAACTGACTTACTGCGATATGCTAGGTGACTTACCTCATCCACCCCAAAAAGGAAAGCAAACTGTTGCTGACGATTCTGATCAACACACTGCCCGAAGTCTAAGAGATCTGTGTCACTGAATTTCAGCCCTTGGAAGGTGGGGATCTTATCCTGAATCCCATTCAACAACTCCTCAGCACGAACTGCTCAAAACAGTAAGTGCCTCATTAATCTTGCAGGAATTTCTCCAGGAAACATCAAGTAATATCTCATACAACCCCTCACATCTGTACTGAGCTGCCTTGGGTTGTCAGCTGGAACTGACTGCAGACTGGGCATAATCACTTGCCCTTGCCTAGTAGCTCTGATGTACTTGTCAAATTATCCTAAACCTTCCATTCCTTGAAGACAGTAGATGGATATTTGTGATATTGTGAATATATTTGGTCTCAGCCTCTGGTTCCCAAGACAGATCTCCTAAATCCCTCATAGATAGGGTTGCTTGGAAAGTATTTCATTCTAATATCTGGTCTTTGACCTTGGTAATTTCCTAAGCGATAGGAGCATCTGACACAGAGCTTCTAAATCCCTTGGAATCTCCAACATGATAAGTGTCTTTTTGTAAGCTATAGAGTTGACTGATGGCTGGGTCTCTTAGATACCACCTCAGGGGGTTAGTTACCAGGGAAACCAACCACGTGATTAGAGGTTTGGAACTTTCAGTCATGCCTTTGGGCAGACTTTTGGGCAGAGGAGGAAGCTGAAGGTTAAGCTGATCACCAATGGTCAACTTTGTCACCTATCATGCTTACATAATGAAGCCCTCATAAAAATCCAAAAGGAAAGTGTTCAAAGAGCTTCTGGGTTGCTGAATACATGAGGGTACCTGGAGGGTAGCTCATCCAGAGAGGGCATGAAATCTCCATGACTCTTCTCACATACCTTACACTATACATCACTTCATCTGATTATTTACCTACATTCTTTGTAATATCCTTGGTAATAAACAGGCAATAGTAAGTAAAGTGTTTCCTTGAGCTTTGTGAGCTGCTTTAGCAAATTAATTGAATGCAAGGAGGAGGCTGTGAATATCCTGATTTATAGTCGGTTGGTCTCAACCTGACATTTGAGACTGGCAATGAAATGAGGGCAGTATTGTGGGACTGAGCCCTTAACCTGTGGGATCTGATGCTAACTCTAGGTAGACAGTGTCAGAATTGAATTGAATTATAAGACATCCAGTTAATCTCTGATGGAGAATTGGTTGTTGGTGGGGAGAAACGCCCACACACATTTTGGTGATCAGAGGTGAAATGCTTTATGTTGAGTGGTGAGCATAAGAGTAGAGAGTAGGAAAAACATTTTTTTTTCCTCAATGTTCATAAAGCACAGCCTGTTTTTTCTTTTATGAAATTTAAGAAAGAATGGGATTAAAAAATAATCTCGTAAGAAATTTCATCTAATTCTTAAAAATCTTCTCACTGGAGAAATATAGTAATAATAAAAAAGCTAGAATAAAAGAAGAGATCAGAGTGCCTTTCTATGCTATAGGAACTAAGACTACAATAGGTACAAGGTAGACAGTCCTATCTTAGTGGGGCTTACAGTCTCGTGTCTTCTCATATAAGAAGTCAGGGCATGTGTGATGGAAACACAGGTGTGTGCTACAAGTACCCAGAGGCCAACTCTTCTTTCATACTGAACAATTCCCATTATAAGGTAGTGTAAATGACTGATAGATGCTGGGATATCAGAGGGACATTTAGAAAGAACTGGAACTGCCTGGTGTTGTGCTTTTGTGACATGGGCTAGGGTGGTATACAGTGGTGTTTCTTAGCAAAATAGAGCATGATAAGAGAGTTGGAAAGAAAGCAGTATTGGCCAGGTGCGGTGGCTCATGCCTGTAATCCCAGCACTTTGGGAGGTGGAGGCGAGAGGATTGCCTGAGCCTAGGGGTTTAAGACCAACCTGGGCAACTTGGCGAGACCTCTCTACAATAAATCAAGAAAAATTAGCCGGGCATGGTGGCACATGCCTGTGGTTCCAGCTACTTGGAAAGCTGAGGTGAAAGGATTGCCTGAGCCCAGCACTCCAGCCTGGGTGAGAGAGTGAGACTTCCGGTGGCTTAGCCTGTAATCCCGCACCTTGGGAGGCCGAGATGAGTGGATCACCTGAGCCCGCGGGTTCGAGACCCGCCTGGGCAACTTGGTGAGCCCTCATCTCTACAATAAATCAAAAAATTAGCTGGGCGTGGTAGCACATGCCTGTAGTTCCAGCTACTTGGAAGGCTGAGACGGAAGGATCGCCGGAGCCCAGCAGGTCGAGGCTGCGGTGGCCAGGAGCGGCCACTGCACTCCAGTCTGGGCGACAGAGTGAGACTCCAACTCAAAAACAACAACAACAACAACAACAACAAAGAAAGCAGTATCAAAAGAAACAGTACTTACTCTTTACCCCTGTCAAGGCAGGAATGTGGTAGTAATAAAATGGCAATGCAGGGGCAGCAGCAGCTACCTCTTTTAGGAAATTAATCAGGACATCTGAAAGAACAGCAGGAGCAGTCATGGTATGAACAATTTTAAAACAATGACTTTCCCTGGTGAAAACAAATCATCTGATGAAACACAACCATTGTTCTTGGAAGCTGAAAATTTACCATCCCTGATGTTGCTACTGCGATGTTTAGCAACCCATTTCCTTCAAACTTTTGTTTTTCTTTCTATAGAAATTCCAAAATAAGCTGACAATCTTCCTACTTCACTAAATTACTATTAAAAACTTGATGCAAACCTTCCCGCATATTAAGAGACAATAATAAAACGCTCTCATACTAACTAGAGCTTATCAGGGAGAACTCTCATCCTCTTACCCCAGAAGGGCTAAGTAATCAACTGGGACTACTATAGGACCAGAGTAAACAGGTTGTAACCAACACGATTTTACCATGAAAAGGTAAGTGACATCTGCTTCAAGAGGAAAGTTGTAAGAGTAGTGACACATTTCACAAAAATTCAACTAGAGTTTGATACTTTTCTCTTTGGGGAGAAATTTAGATACATCAGAAGAGAGTGCACTAAGGTTTACTGAGGAAGTGGGATTTCCTGCATCATCCAATGTGAACTTCAAATGCAACATTATTACAGAGGAGAAATAAATCCAGCAGAACTGCTTATGGTATGGGTGCCACTGGATAGTGAGAAAATTTTATGTACTTCACCTGAATACTGTGATGATGTATTCAGCCTATGGCAATAGATATTTCTGATGGATTATTATGTATAATTTATTATTTTTCCTTTGGAAAATACGTTGTACATGAATAGTTTTTACATGAATACTTTTACAAAATACTTATAAATTTGTAAAGGACATGTAAAAAACTTTGAAAATATTTATTTAAAATCCCCAAATTGGCAATATTTAAATTTACTTATTTATGTGCACAACAATAGGTGATATTTCATGATGTTTTTGACCTACTGTATGTTATTACAGATTTATTTAATCATGGATGCAAATAACTTCTTGTCTGTTTTTAATCCCTTCAAAATGGATGTATTTTTTTGGTAATCAAAAGGATGAAGAAGACTCAGTACACTTAATAGTTTCCACAGAGAAAAAAGTGGAGAAGGGAAAAGCAACACTTTGATATTTGGAAAGACAGCAAATATTTCCATGAAATCTCTTCAAATTCATCACTTGCTCAACCTTGAATAGTCTCAAAATGTCCATTACTTACACTTTTCTCTTTAAAGAAAAAGAGTCCCATGCTTTGCCATGTGATTTTGACACCCTACACAATTGACTGGACCAGGAGTGGACACCTGATCCAAACACAGTCACCTTCAGATTGACCAGGATCTCTTGGATGACTCAATCAGATGACTTGGTGAGAGAATTGATGTGCTTTAATGCAGTCTCTTTTATAGATCCAGGAAAAGCAAATATTTCAGAAAACCACACTGTGCCATTGAAACTTCAAGCCTCAAGTCTATAGGATTTTACTTTCATAAATTAAATATTCTGAATGGAGCCAAGAAGAAGTAGACCATGTGAAGCACTGTGCATTTAGATCTAACAACTTACCTTTGGTCCATGGCTTGAGAAAGAAAGGTGCAATGACAGCGATGCCATCAGCTCCTATTTCTGCTGCATGTTGGGCCTTTGAAGGAAGAAACAAGACCATACTGGAATAAGTGATTTATTACAGTTACCTACAGCTTAGATACTAGGTCAGTGAGAAGTTCTGCAAATATTTCAACTGATGCAGCACTGCAGAGTGGGAAAATTAGTTAAATCTAATGATAAATGTCACTGTCAGGAAAATCCCAGGTTGCAAAGTAGAGATCCCTAGTGAAGGGGAGCTGTGTACTTAATCTTATACTTTATATTATTTGAGTACAAAAAATGTGCTAAGGAGACATAAGCAGTTAATTTTGATAAGTTATAACTATTATTAGAGACACATGCTGTTGTAATTTCTCTTCTGTTCATCCCACTGGATACTATTGTCATCTCTGTCCAATGATATGACAGTCATATTTTAAAATTAGTATTACAGATTGAGAATGCAGTTGAGAAAGACTGAGAAAAAAAGATTGATTTTATGCATCACAGAAGACACTTTGTATCATGCTCCTGGTGTTCTCTCTAATTCCTCCAGGAAAAAATTAACATTTCCTTTCTCTGAGCCCTTATAACATTATGTATCTATTTCTAGAAGAGTAGCCAAACCTACCCCACTGTAAAGCAGTTGTGTATGGTGACGGTCCTCTAACTCAGGGGTCCCCAACCCCTTGTTAGGAACTAGGCCACACAGCAGGAGGTGAGAGGCAGGTGAACCAGCGAGCAAAGCTTCATCTGTATTTACAGCTGCTCCTCATTGCTCGCATTAATGCCTGAGCTCTGCCTCCTGTCAAATCAGGGCCAGCATTAGATTCTCATAGGAGCACAAACCCTAATGGGAAATGTGCATGCCTGATGATCTGAAGTGGAGCTGAGACGGTGATGCTAATGCTGGGGAACGCCTACAAATACAGATTAACATTAGCAGTGAAGTTTGACTGCACAGAGACCATAACGGATTAATTGCTTGCAGATTCATATTAAAACCCTATCAGTGAGTGGCAAGTGAGTTGATGTACTTCAATTGTACAGCTGCATCTGATGGCATAATTATTGTGTAATTGTGTATTATTATTTATAATATATTATTTATATTATATAATTATTACATTACTATACAAATATATATTTCACGAATATTACAATGTAATAATAATAGAAATAAAGTACACAATAAATGTAATGTGCTTGAATCATCCTGAAACCATCCCTGCCTCCCCGGTCTGTGGAAAAATTGTCTTCCATAAAACCGATCCCTAATGCCAGAGGCCAAGGTGGGAGGATAACTTGAGGCCAGGAATTTGAGGCTGCAGTGAGCTTTGATTGTGCCACTGCACTCCAGCCTGGGTGACAGAGTGAGACCCTGTCTATGGGATATAACCCAAAGCTTAATCAGGACACTGAGCATAATTTCATTAACAGAATCTAATGTATTTGACTCATTTGTTTAGGACTCTGTTTAGAAAAAAAGTAGAAGAGTCACCTTAGCTAAAATCAGGGAAAAAGGAAACAACAAGAAAGAGTTGATGGCAGTGTCCATTCATGCATCATACGATGGAGAGTTATGGATATATGTCAATGTTATTGTCTCCTTGGCAAGATTACCCCGTATCAGGAGATTATCCCTACATTAGAGGATTATCTCCACTCCAAGATTACCTACACTATTCTAGTGTACAGTCTAATGAATGATACTGTCTTTCATGTGATTATATGACAATATTTTAAAATTTATATATATATTAGAAGGGAAAGCATTGAAAAAGAAAAAAATATTCCCTACATCATACTACCTTAATTTAAAAACGTTTTGTAGCCAGATGCAGTGGCTCATGTCTGTAATCCCAGCACTTTGGGAGGCAGAAGTGAGAGGATTCTCTGAGTCCAGGGGTTCAAGACCAGCCTGGACAACATGGAGAAACCGCGTCTCTACAATAAATCAAAAAGTTAGCTGGGCGGGGTGGTGTGCACCTGTGGTTCCAGCTACTTGGAAGGCTGAGGCAGAAGCATCACCTGAGCCCAGCAGGTTGAGGATGTGGTGGCCGTGAGTGTGCCACTGCACTCCAGCCTGGGCAACAGAGTGAAACACCTACTCAAAAGAAAAAAAAAGATTTGTAAGAAGAGCAAGTCAAGTATAAAAAGAATAAATGAAGTCCTCAAGTTCTGATTCCAGACTTACTAAGCCTACTAGTAGATCTTCCCTTGTGGCTTGCCTAAGAATACCGAATTGTAATTTTTGCACGTATATATTATATATCCCATTTAAAAATCTTAATAATAGGAAAAACAATCAAGCAAAACTCACCAAGAAGAAGTTGGGCCAGGTCAAGTCATCATAAACTTTAGAGTTAGAATATGTAAGTTCTGGAAACATGATTAATTTACAGCAGTCCAGAATACACTGTTTATTCTAATAAACAATGCCAAACACCTTTGTGTTTTCTTTTCTTAACCAATTCCCCCAGGCCTAAAAACCACCAGTCACCCGCTTTTCTGCAGCAACTTTAACTCCTTCCCTTTCATTTGCTCCACCTAACCTGCTAATCCCTAACCCTAGAGCAATCTAATTGTCTATATTCTTGTTCCTATGTTCTGGCTAAAGAGTATACCTAGAAAAAAATGTCCACACCTGTGTAGAATGATGGTGTGACAAATTTATGACTTACAACTGTAGTTGGCTGTCAGCACCACTGGGCAATCCTTTTGTTTCAGCTCTCTCCCTCTCTCTAAGGTAGCCAGTTCACAACACTTGCCACTCTTCAAGCGTTCACCTTATCTTTTTTCTCTCTTGTGTCCAGCAGATGGCAGCGCTTTCTACTTCTCAAAGAAAACTGCAGTTGGCAAAAATTCTGCTTCTTACCGGCAAACACAGCTACAATTATACCCTCCCTTACTCTCCCTTACTACCCTATGGTAGTCATCACCTTCTCTTTATGGCTCAGTTTCTGCTTCCAAGCAGCGAGTCCCTAAGGTCCTCCAACTCATCTTTCCAGGCACAGCATCCACCACATAGCAAATATAGTGTTGATTTTCACATCAGCATAAAAATTGAGGCCCCTTGAGTGGTCTCTCTTGGACAGAGCTGTATACATACCAGTTCCTGTGACTCCTTCAAGCTCAGTGCTCCTACGTGAATCACCACCTGATCCAGCCTACAAAAAAGAAAACACTGCCACCTCACTTGAAGCTTAGAAATGCACAGAAGGGCTGCACTATTGTGGTCTGTGCTGGTTTTAGCACTTAGCTACTGCCTTATTCATCTCAATTTTGAGACTGTAAAATTCTACAGTGGTCTATTTAAAATTAATCTAATTAAGATAACTTATGTTGGTTTTTTGTTGTTGTTATTGTTTGATTTGAGGTCTCACTCTGTCACCCAGGCTAGGTGATCATGTCTCACCGCAGCCTAGACCTTCTGGGCTCACGCAATTCTTCTACCTCGGCCTCCTGAGTAGTTGGGACTATAGGCATGTGCCACCATGCTCGGCTAATTTTTGTGATTTTTTTTTTTTTGTGATAGATACGAGGTCTCAATATGTAGCCAGGATGGTCGTGAACTCCCATGATCCTCCCCTCCCTCCTTGCCCTCCCAAAGTGCTGGGATTACAGTGTGAGCTACTGCACTCAGCCAATGGTGATCCTTTTAGTGTAGGTCAGTGATATCAAAGTCTAGTCATTTTTTTTTGGTTTTTTTGTTTTTTTGTTTTTTGTTTTTTGCTTTTTAAATTGCCTTATTAACTTTATAATATGTAGTAAGCATCTTTCCGTGCAAGTTGATGAAACTCCCCTGCTGACAGAAAAACTTACAGACTAGGTTAAAATGAAATCACCAGAAAGAACACCAAAAAGTTTACACTAAAATGCAAGTTTGTAAATCAGGGGGTTTATGCTTGTTAACCTTTAAGATTCAAGGCATAAGGCAAAACATCTGGATGATCATGGTGAGGAGGATCGCCTATAAGAATGTGCAGACTGTACCTCAACTGAAGCTTCCTAATTTTCCTCCTTAGCTCTCTCATCTCCTCCATGAACCGTTCCATATCATCTGCATCTCCATCTATCATATCTATGTTATTGATAAGCCTATCGGGCATATCATCTTCAAAATTCTGGGCAGGTGGAGCCCAGCCCCCTCTAATATTTACTCCAGGCTCCTGGCCTTCACTACTTCCTAAAGGGCGGGCTGCTTCTTCATTCTGCACTGGGTCCTGCTCCCCAACTTTGTTTTCCTGGGGGACATTTTCTATATTGAGTTAGTTGGTGTTTCTTCTTCCTGAAGGAATCAGAAGCAGTTTTTCTTTCTTAGCCTGGAAATCTGCTGCACCAATGCACGTAAAGACCTGCCACGGATCCGGGTCAGCTTCTACCACTTTCCTTCTTTCCTGTGCAGCTGGCTTGCAAGGCTTCAGAGCAGTAGCGAGCCGCTGCATCGTCACCAGCCACTACCAGACCGCAATTAGAGGAGAGACTAATCCACGCATAGGCTCTGGTCTCAGAGAGGCTACGTCACTGTTTTTTGGTTTTTTTTAAGTGGGAGTCTCACTCTGTCACCCAGGCTGGAGGGCAGTGGCATGCTCCCGGCCACCGCAGCCACAACCTGCTGGGCTCCTGCAATCCTTCCGCCTCAGCCTTCCAAATAGCCGGAACTACAGGCATGTGCTACCATGCCCGGCTATAGTCATGTTTTCAAGAGGTTGGTTGTTATTTGAAAGCACTTAGGATGATTGTAATTTCACAGCAGAGATGATTCAACCCTAAAGAAGTCTTTAAAGGCAAAGTTAGGCAAATTGCATTCCATTTCATATTACTGTAGGAATACAACCATTCCTGCAATGACTTAGAGCTGGTGGGAAGGTGGTATGTTCATGTAGTGTCATGGAGCCTTCATACTACCAGCAACAGAAATATATGCTGACTACCAGCAACAGAAATAACTGTTGACCATGTACAGAAATGAAATTCATCTCTCACAAAGTTAGAGGCAGAGGATCCCGGAGGTAATTTAGTCCAAGCCCATTATCTTACAAGTGAGTAAACTGGGGTCTGTAGAAATTAGCCTTGCATACATGCTTACATAAACATACCTATAAATGGTCATGAAAGATATGAAATTTAAAAATCAATTCAAATGGAAATATATATTATATATATATTTATTTTAAAGGTGTGGGGTACAATTCAGGATTAGGTACACAAGTGGACATCATACAGGTAAAGTTTGGGCCTCCTTTTGGTTCCCACTTTGCCTGGTTTGAGGTCAGGTACCCTTATTGATGTTATGTGCCTCCCCATCCTGCAAATGGAAATATGTTATCCAGTTTAGTAATGTTTAGAGTCAGTGATTTATGTCACATATTACATATAGTTTTTGTAAATAAATGATATTGCATATATTTACATAACAGTACTTGGCATATATCTGACACTGGCTAATACTTATTGATGTAGATAAATAAAATGTAAATTATAACAAAAAACAACATGCTAATGATGAATCAAGCACTAAGAAAAAAACCTGACTGGGAGGTGGTACACCTAGCTGTTAAGAGATTATATCCCAGGGAGTCCTGAGTTTGAATCCTGACTCTGTTACTAACTAGCTGTGAACCTCTCAGTAAGACACTTAGCCCCAATATGCCTCAATCTCCTGGAATAATTCAGGTAATAATTGTACCTGCTTCATGGGGATGTTGTAAACATTATGTGAGTTCATACATGCAAAACATAGCATGATACTTGGCACACAGTAAATGCTTAATAAATATTAGCAGTTACTACTGTTAAGCCTTAAGAATAAAGCTTTAGGCTAGATGCCATGGCTCATGTCTATAATCCCAGCACTTTGGGAGGCTGTGGTGGGAGAATCATTTGAGGCCAGGAAAAAAAATTAGCTGGGCAAGGTGGCTCATGCCTGTAGTGCTAGCTACTTGGGAGGCTGAAGCAAGAGGATCTCTTGAGCCCCGAAGGTGGAGGCTGCAGTGAGCCATGACTACACCATTGCATTCCAGCCAGGGTGATTGTGAAACCTTGTCTGGAAAAAAAAAGCCATATAAAACTATAAAAATATTTAAAAGAATAAGATTGGAATCATTAGTGCTTTAAAAAAATGCCTAGGGAATATAGCTTAAGGTTTAACTAAGCAATAGCACTTAAAAAGCAATATCCATTAATCAATACTTGAGTATGAGTACTTATTTTGATTAAGCATCGTTTTAGTTGCTGCATTTGGTGATGTTGCGTGCATGGAGATAGGTGTAATTCTGAGATATTTTTGGTTGGAGATAAAGACAATGTGGTTCCTCAAAGAGTACAACCAGGAATTAGTCACGTGAGTAATATGAGAAATGAATTCATTGTAAAAGGTGATTTTCTATTTTGTAAGTCCTCAGAACTTGACCAGAAAGGATGTTTATTCTGAGACTCCAATGTTCACCTTTGAGGTTATTCCATGTGTCCCTCTGGAAAGAAGCCACAGTGATACTGGTCTTCTCAGGTGGGATTAATAAAGTGCATCTGTGAATCCAGCCATCCCATTGAATTCTCTGGGGGACGCTGAAGGACACACATGCCATCCTCATGAGATAGAGACACCACAGTCCTGTTTTTGTCCAATCACTAAGTCCCCCAGTGATTCTTGGCTTGCTATGTCTTAGGTAAAATGGGACCTAGCTGGGAGGCGACCGAGTTTGTGTTTTGAAAGGCTAACAGAATACTCCAGAATGGTGGAGGCAGCAGTTTTTTTTGCACGGTCTGCTTAAGCCCTTCACTACCCCTTTCTCCTGGCTTAGGTCAAACCAATCATCCATTTGCTCCTCCTCCTGGGCTGCTGAGCTCAGCTATCACTGTTGGGCTTTAGAGTACAAACTTCCCCGTAAGTTCCCTGGTGAGGAGGAGGTTCCAATATAACTGCTGGTCATCAGAATTCACTCTTCCTTCCCATGCTCTGCAGTGGCTACCCCAGATCTTGACTATTCCTGTCAAGCTCTAAACTCTACACAACTCCTTCTTCTGGGCAGATGTCTTAGATTCTGAGCTACCAAATAAATAAGCTTTCACCACAGATGCCCTTACCCTTCCTGCGTGTGGCTATGTCACCATCTACACTTTCCTCCCAGTTTTTCAGCTGTGTTTGAAAGTTACTCTATTTGGGGTTGCACAGACAGTCCCCAACTTGCAATGGTTTGACTTTGTGATGGTGTGAAAATAACACACATTCAGTACATCCTCTGACTTATGATGGGGTTTCGTCTGGATAAACTCAATGTAAGTTGTAAACCAAATTGATTTATGATGGGTTTATTGGGCCCGAATCATGTTGTGAATGGAGGAGCATCTGTATGAGTACTTCAACCTCCCTCTGAGGCCTTCCATCACAGGTATCAGTTTGCCTCTTTTTTGTGTCTTTACTCTCTTCTCCCATGGCAGTGTCTTTGCATGTTTGCTCAAGACTTCCCCACTTTAAGAAAAAGCAGCTATCCTTCTCTCAGTCTTGCCTCTTCCTTCCTAACCTACTACTCCGTCTCTCCTTCCCATTACCAGAACACTTTTATGGGGATGAGCTGTCCTCCCACTCCCAGTTTCACATGCCTGTTGCCTTCTACAGCTCGCTGTAGGGTGACTTCTCGACAGTCACCCAACTGGCCTCTCTCTCAGTTCACTGGTGACTTCTTACAACATGGCAAACCAAGTGGTCTTCTCAGTCTTTTAACAGCATCTAACAATTGTGACAAGTATTATTACGAGCACATCATCTACTGCAAATAGTTACAATGAATTCTTATGTTGTACTTAGTATCATGTGTCAGGCACAGTTCTAGTCCTCACCACAGCCTTGCAAGATAGGTGCTGTTGTTACTGCTATTTTATGGATGGAGCACAGAGAGGTTAGGTGACATGTCTGAGTTCCCAAAGCTAACAAGAGCCAGAATGGGTTCTCAAACTCAGGTGGTCTAGCCCTACAATCCCTGCCACACCAATGCTCTCTGAAGTCATTTCCCTCTCTGGCTACAGTGACAGGATTCACTCCTCACCTCCCTCTTACCCTTCCAAGGGCTTTCTGTCTCTGCCACCTCCCTATCCCTCATTTCAGGTGCTGTTCCTAATGTTTATCCTTAGCTGTCCTTTTTTGTCACTAAAAGCCCATGGCCTTTTAGTGATTTGGACCCTGGATCTGACAAAATTAACTGAGAGCTGGTGGATCAACAGAAAATGCCTATATGGCTATGCACTCAAACTTGGTACATAATTTCAGGGTCACAGGCTTCATGCTGACAACCTCTGCTCCAGGCTCACTTGGGACTTTGCCCTAATTTTTTACTTCCACCTAAGACACCATCAATCACTCCCTTCTTGCTTATAAATTCATCAGAAGGTTCAGAGTATTAGTTTTCACAATCTGACATCCCCAGTAGATGATCAGCAACCTGAAGGCAGAGCCCTACTTTATATTTCCGGTCCCTAGCACAGTACATAACACAAAACCTTACTTGTCTATTGACAATAAATAGAGCTTGGTTAATTGGATGTGCTTATGGAATAGATACTGTCCTGTCTGTTTTACTACAGCATGAATTGGGTGTTACAACAAAAATATATCACTACATGGAAGTTTAGGGGATACAGGAGGTACCCCAGCAACACAAGAGGAAGCACCATAAAAGAGCACACTGAGACTGGGTGTGATGGCTCATGCCTGCAATCCTAGTACTTTGCGAGGCTGAGGTGGGAGAATTGCTTGAGCTCAGGAGTTTGAGACCAGCCTAGGCAACATAGTGAGGTGCCTCTACAAAAATTTTTTTTTAAAATAGCTGGATATGGTGGAACCTAGTCCCAGCTACTCAGGAGGCTGAGATGGGAGGATTGCTTAAGCCGAGGCGGCTGAGGCTACAGTAAGTCATGATCATGCCACTGTACTCCAGCCTGGATGACAGAGTAAGACCCTGACGCAAAAAAAAAAAAAGCACAATGAGTCAGATGTACGGAGAAGTCCTATAAGGAGTAATGGGCTGATATATACTTCAGGTACTCATCTTAAGAGGGGAAGGGCTGTGAGTTGTTCAGTGGAAGAGCCGGGGGCCTAGCAGGGTCAGTTCTCATCACTTTCTCCTCTTATCCTTCAACTCAAGAACAGATAACCCTGAGGGGACTGGTCCTGTGGATGGATAAGAGGCAGTTTCCGGTCGGAAACTTTGGGAGCCAGGAGGTCCTTGCAGTCTCTTGCTATCTGGCCACCCTCACTGAGGAGTCAGATCCCTGGACCCTGTTCATCTTCCCACCAGCTGAACCAGCCTCCGGCAGGAATGCAGGAAGGCTGTGTCATCTGGGGAGGAAGCTCTCTGAATATAGCTCTTGCCATGAGTGTTTTAATCCTCATACAGCTACTCACTTGTTCTTCCCTCTTGTCACCCACTCCTCCGCGACCAGGCGACGTTCTGAGATGCTGAGGGACAGGCCTTCTCCGGTCGTGCCATTCACTGTTCCAAACAAAGAGTCAGTCAGTGAGACAGATGAGCACCTCTGCTCCTCCAACCCTGAGTCAGGAAGGGCAGGGTCAGAAACCCTGCCTCAGAGGAAGGGACCTGGGGAAATAGTAGACAATGAATTTAGGAAGGGGAAATGCCAGGTTTCCATTTTCACTTTATTTTATTTTTTAAGTCAGGCTGGAGTACAGCAGCATAATCACGGTTCATTGTAGCCTCGGCCTCCTGGGCTCAGGAGATAGATTCTTCTGCCTTAGCCTCCCTAGTAGCTGGGGCAACAGGCATGCACCACCATGCCCAACTCATTTTTTAACTTTTTGTAGAGACAAGGTCTTGCTATGTTGCCCAGGGAGATCTTGAACTTTTGGGCTCAAGCAATCCTCCTGCCTTGGTCTCCCAAAGTGCTGAGATTACAGGTATGAGTCATTGCACCTGGCCCATTTTCATTTTTAAACTTTTTTCTACCTTTACTTTGCAAAAGCAGGTGGAAGGTTAATTGTGACATGTGATTATAAGTCTGCCCTTGCCATCAGAGACAGACATTAAATATGAATGAAGACAGAGATAACTGCCCACATTTTAGGCCAGTCTCCAAACTCAGTTCTATATCTGGACTCGAATGGCATCAAAGTCCAGCACTGGAATGTTAGGAAGGCCACAGTGGGATTTACTCACCCAGGTGCTTTTGTGTACTATGAATCTCAAACTATCTCTGCCTACAGTTTGACATGATGGTAGTGCTCTAGGACAACTCATTTTAAAAATGATATTTCTTAAGTAAGCACAAAGAATATTAATATTTCTTTTTTTTTTGCGTTGGAGTATCACTTTGTCACCCAGGCTGGAGTATAGTGGCACGCTCATAGCCACCGCAGCCTTGACCTGCTGGACTCAGGTCATCCTTCCACCTCAGCCTTTCAAGTAGCTGGAACTACAGGCATGCGCCAACCATGCTTGGCTAATTTTTTTATTTATTGTAGGGATGAGGTATTGCAAAGTTGCCCAGGCTGTTCTCGAACCTGTGGGCTCAGGTAATCCTCTCACCTCAGCCTCCCAAAGTGCTGTGATTTTAGGTGTGAGCCACTGTGCCTGGCCTGGATATTAATATTTCTTATGCCAAGCTTCCTGTGTATTCACTTATTCTCATAACAACCCAGCAAAGTAGAAATTCTTCTTCTCACTGCTAGATGACAATATGAGGTCTGACACACTAAATAATTTAACTGTGAATCCAGAGTTGTGTGATTCCAAAAACCCATCCTCTCTTTTCCTTCTACTACAATCATCTCACAATGGATGACAGGAAGATGTCAGTGGCAACAGGATGTATTACTGGGGTTTCATGCAGATAGCAGCACTCTGAGGCACTGAGCACTGGGTTGGAATAGGGGAGGTCGGGAAGGTGAGGGGGAGTTGGAAAGAGGGTGTTTGTCACTTCTTTGGGGTCTTGACTTCAAGTATGCTCCAGTCATAGGGATGTTTCTGCTTCCTCCCTATACATAGGGGAGTCCTGCAGTGCTTTGAGGATTAAGAATGTCCATTCCCCACCATGGTTCAAGCTGTAGAGGGACACTGAGCAGTTCTAATCAGGTCTTGGTTTTGACTCATGGCCCAGCACATCTTTTCTTTTCTTTTTTCTTTTTTTTGAGACCAGGTCTCACTCTGTCACCCAGGTTGGAGTGCAATGGTACAATCATGGCTCACTATATCCTCAAACTCCTGGGCTCAAGCCATCCTCCTGCCTCAGCCTCCTGAGTAGCTGAGATTATGAGCATGCGCTATCATGCCTGGCTTGTTTGTTTGTTTGTTTGCTTGTAGAGAAAAGGTCTTGCTCTGTTGCCCAGGCTGGTTTCAAACTCCTGGGCACAAGAAATCCTCCAGCCTCAGCCTCCCAAAGTGCTGAGACTATAGATGTGACACCATGTCCTGGCCTGGGACACATTTTTACACAATGTTAAGTGGCTCTGATTATGACCAGGTGTTTCCAGCTCCAGAGGGTCTCCTGTTGGTGGAGAAGTAGCTCAGGCCAAGGTGTAGTGTCCTCAGAATGAAAACTTATCTGAAGATCCAAGAGCCCAGAACACCAAGCAAGGGGCAGCTCAACCACAGGTAAGTATACCTATTAGGCTTAAAATGTTCAAGATCTGATTTATTTTACTTTCACTGTCTCTTAAATAAATGGGGATAACAGCTGGTCCTGTAGTTTGTGTGTCACACTTAGTCTTTCTTCCATTTGCAGTTTGAAGACAGAATGAAGTCCATTCTTTTTTTTTTTTTTTTTTTTAGTCAGTCTTACTCTATCGCCCAGAATGCGGTGGCATGACCATGACTCACCTCAGCCTCAACCTCCTGGGCTCAGGTGATCCTTCTGCCTCAGCCTCCTGACTAACTGGGACTACTAGCAGGTACATGCCACCATGCTCGGCTCATTTTTGTTTTTTATAGTGACAAGGTCACGTTATGTTGCTTAGGCTGGTCTCAAACTTCTGGACTCAAGCAATTCTCCTGTCTTGGTCTCCCAAAGTGCGGGATTACAGACATGAGCAACCAATCACACCCAGCCTGAAGTTCATTCTTAAGAAAAAAGAAGAGAGTTTAATTGTTACTAAGAGAGATTTGGTTGTTACTTCTCCACGATCTAAAAAGTATATCTGAGTCACAGACTTTCACCTGGAGATGGGGGTAAAAACAATACCTTATCTGTTGGCACACCATCAAATGAGATAATCTCTTGAGGTGCTTTGTAGGTCCTAACATGGGGGAGCCTACAGATTCATAAATTTGAGTAGCTTAGCCAGGCTACATCATAACCAGTGACACCATGACTCTGTGACCTGTTGACTGGTAACCAGGTGAGACCTACATTCTAAGGACTGAGCCTGAGACAGGTAGTGACATACCCAAAGGTGACTTACCAAAAATGTTCTTCACGCCCTGCTCTTTCACAAGGTAATCCACGTACTGACCAATTACTGAAAAGTTGATTTCTCTGAAAGACATGGGAAAAATGGGGAAAAATGCATTTTTTGGTTATTATTCAGCCAATGCTCAGGTCTATAAACTGATCTCTTGTTAGTAAAAATTCATTTAGTTTGTGAAATTCTCAGCCTGCTCTAAATAATGCCTAGGTTGTTTTTGTTTTTCTGAATCTGGTGATTTCTTCACTCAGCCATGTGTGCCCCATTTACAATGAGCAAAACACTATTAGTGAGCAACAGAAGCTTTACATTTAAATCTTGTCACAAGTAATACTTAAAAAGAAGTTATCTAACTATATTTTGCCCTTTTTTGGAAAGTGACAGTTGGGGGCAGAGTTAAATGAGACCTTAACACTTTCCACTTGGCAAGAAACAGCCATTTCCTGGGCTTACAAGATAGGAGAATTCAATTTTAATGTAAGAATTTTAGCACTTACTATTAGTGACAACAAGTGAATACTTAAACCCATTTGAACAGGATTAACAATTGGAAAGGAACTTTTTGTCACTTTGCCTCTCAAAAGGGGAACAGTAGCACTGGCATTTGGAAGAGTTTGTCAGAAACACAGAATCCCAAACCACACTCAGTCCTACCCAGTCAGAATTTGAATTTTAACAAGATCCCCATGTGATCTGTACGCACGTTGCAGTTTAAGGTGCACTGACCTTGTAAGGATGGGATGCTCTTTTCTTCACATTATATTGATTTTAAAATCTGGAAACGGACTCAAAGATCGCATTAAGTGATCTGTACTCAATCCAAATGCAGGTGGGGAGGATGGGCGATGGAGAGTGAAACCCAAAGAAAACTGCAAGTCTGGGTGCAGTGTTGCAGAACTCATGGTTACATTGCCAAGAACACCAAGTGCTAGCTGGCTGCCTTTTGCACTTTTGTCAGTGGGGCCAGAGAATCCTAATTTAATGTTAACCTTATTAACATTCTTGTCATCTCTATTATATTCCTTAGACAACAATAACAAAAATTAAAATAAATAAAATGTCTAGGAAACAAAGACTTCAAAGGGCATTTGTCAAAAGTAGGAACAATAAGAGACGGAATAGAAAGCAGTTGACTCGGAGATGAAAGGGAAAGATACTACTAATAAATGCAAAGAACACACAGGCAATCACAGCCCACAGCCAGCTCGGAGAAAAGACAGCTAGGGGATCTGAGTCTGCCTCTTGGGAAAAGGTGTGTTTTAATGTAGTTATAAGGCCTCCACCAGGAGCAAACACCCTCCATTGTGGCCCCTGACCCCAGATCCTAACACTGCTGGTCTGTGCCTGGCACACTGTGGGTGCTCAGCAAACGCTGGGAAAAGGAGTGAGGATGTGGGAACTTACAGTAATGATGAAATCACCATGGGTTCTGCCTTTTCCAAAACATGCATGTTTTGAAATCTCACAATGACATGGAGTAAAGGAGAAGGACTATATAATCAAAATAGAGGAAAATAGGATGAAGGCTAAGACTAAGTAAAAAATGAAGCAGATAAGAGGTTCAAAAGAGGAACTGATAGAATACAACCAGAAAGACTGGCAGGGGAGTCCAGGAACCGGACCCGGAAGAATAAATCATTCAAACCCCTTGGACATTCCTTCTCTCCCGCATTCCTGAAATGCCTTTGTCTGGCCCTATCCTGCTATCCTCCTCTTTCTAGGGAGCTGACTGCACTCACAGGCAGATGTAGGCCCGTATGCCTGCACACTGTTTTATGTCCTCTGTGGGTGATGCTTCCACTGACACTCACCCCCTTCCCCTGTCACATTCCCTCAGGCCTTGTAGGGCAACAGGCTACTTGTCTGCCGATTTCACTCAGGTTAGGGGCACTAATGGGTGATGCATTTTCTGTCTCTTTAAGAAAGGAGAAAGCAATTTGTTGCTTCTTGTAAAATTCCCCTTCCATACAGGAATCCTAATATTCTCATGGAAAAATTTTGGGGGCAGTGGTAGTCACCCAGAAAATATACTCAGAGATGGCCTTTCTAAACTACTAGAGGTTGAAAGAGGGTGACCTCTAAATGTTTGTTTGGCTTTTACAATATTAAATTTTATTTTCTGGCTAAATGTGGTAGCTGTCACCTATAATCCTAGCACTTTGGGAGGCCAAGGCAGGAGGATTGCTTCAGGCCAAGAATTCAAGACCAGCCTGGGCAACATGATAAGAACTCGTCAAAAATTTTAAAAAATTGCCAGGTGTGGTGGCATACTTCTGTAGTCTTAGCTACTAGGGAGGCTAAGGTAAGAGGATCACTTGAGCCCCAGAGTTTGAGGCTGGAATGAGCCATGATCACACCATTGCACTCTAGCCTGAGTAACAGAGTGAGACCCTGCCTCTAATTTTTAAAAGTAAAAATTCCTGTTTAAAAAATGACTATTTGAAAAGCCAAATACCTAACAATGCCAGGGCTGCATTTCCACACAGCTGGAAGGAGCAGCGGTGGCCCCTCCAGAGGCCCAGAAGCTCCACAGGCCTCTCAGGCATCGCAGATCCCTGCCTGACTCTGCAGCCTGTGGCTGGGATGCTTGACAGCTCCATTCACAGGTGGGCCAGGTGAAATTGCCATGCTTGTTACAGAGGCCCCTAAAATGGCAGGGTTAAGGTGGCAACTGGATAAAATTCTCCTTGGGGACTTTGTTCCTATCCCTGTCTGCCCACCCTACTCTATGTCCCCATGATATCCAGGTCTGTTTTCATTGCTGGAAGCCATTATTAGACATTGATTATCAGGAAGTCAGTAAAGAATGGAAACAATGAGATTGGGCTATTCTCCACAGGCCTATGGAGCTTGGGCTAACACCAGTGAGAAATGACACAGTCAGTTCCCCTGAAAAGGCTGCATTGCATCTTCTCCCAAGAGACCCAGAACACATCTAACAACTGGCCACCTCAGGAGAGAGTGGTCTAGAACCAAATTCCATGCTTGCTGTCATTATTCTCATATTTAACCCCAGTTTAATGTCTTAATTTCAACTCCCATGGGTTCAGTTCAGATTCTTTTCTTTTAGGTTCATGTGCTTTTTTTAAAAAAGAGACAGGGGTTTTGCTATGTTTCCCAGACTGGCCTCAAATCTCTGGAGATGAGTTTGATATTTTTCTGTTCACATATCCACAGTGTTCTCACTTACAAGTGGAGCTACACTGCAAAGTATAGAGAATGGTACAATGGACACTGGAGACTCAGAAGGAGGAGGGTAGGAAGGGGGAAAGGGATGAATAATCACCTATAAGATACAGTGTGCACAGGTGGGGGTGGTGGGTGCACTTAAAGCCCAGACTTCTTCACCACCATACAATCTATCCATGTAACCAAAAACAACCTGTATCACCTAACAGTATTGAAGTCAATTTTTAAAAAACGCGGGATCTAGTTCAGTGGTGTGGGAGGGCCTGAGATTCTGCATTTCTACCCAGTTCTCATGTGATGTTGGAGCAACTGGTCCATAGACCAAACAATGAGTAACAAGGCTGAGAAAAAAGGAAGTCAACAGAGATTCTAAAAAAGAGACTGACACGATGAGTTACAGGCATTTTATACATTCTTATTTAATGGTGATCACCACGATATTCTTAATGACATAACACCAGAGGCCTTAGAGACAATGTGATTGAATGCCCTTTCTTTATGGAATATGAAAGAGAGCTCTTAAAAGGTGACATGACTTTCTCTGGGTCAGACAGCTAGTTGGTGGCAAAACTGGAGGTCAAGGAGACACAGATTTTAAGACCACTTAACCATGTTCTATCTGTCAACATCCCTACTCTGGGACATCAATTTATATTTAGAGAGCTGTATTGTTAGTGAGTTTCATTGGAATTAAGAAGAAAAAAGGGCCGGGCTTGGTGGCTCAGCCTGTAATCCCAGTGCTTTGGGAGGCCGAGGTGAGTGGGTTGCCTGAGCCTGCGGGTTCGAGACGTGCCTGGGCAACTTGGCAAGACCTCATCTCTACAATAAATAAAAAATTAGCCAGGCGTGGTAGCGCACGCCTGTAGTTCCAGCTACTTGGAAACCTTAGGTGGAAAGGATCGCTGGAGCCCAGCAGGTTGAGGCTACAGTGGCCAGGAGCAGCCATTGCACTCCAGTCTGGGTGACAGAGTGAGACTCCAACTCAAAAAAATAAAACAAAAAGAAGAAAAAGAAGAAAGATGTTCAGCCATTCAGAATTGTGGAGGCTTTGGAATACTGTATAAGCCAGGTTAGGGAAACTCCCACAATGGCAGGTCACCTGGCAATATTTCCAGGTATTAGATTCTGTGTGTCCCTTCCTTCCATGTTGTCTCTTAGAAACATACCAGAAGGGGAGATTCCTTTGTAGATAAGTAGGTTAATGCCTATCTGCTCTTGGTGGGTATTCTAAAACTGTTTTGTGCCTACAGGAATGCTTGAGGCTGTTTGTGGTATCTTACGCCTGTAATCTCAGCAATTTGGGAGGCTGAGGCAGGAGGACTGCTTGAGCCCAGGAGTTCGAGACCAGCCTGGGCAACATAGTGAGACCGCATCTCTACAAAAAATTGCCAGGCATGGTGGATGTGCCTATAGTTCCAGCTAAGTGGGAGGCAGGAAGAATGCCCAAGTCCAGGAGGTTGAGGCTGCAGTGAAGTGTGATGATAGTGCTATACACCCCAGCCTGGTCAAGAGATGGAGATCTCGCTTCAAAAAAAAAAAGTGTTTGATGAAGCAGGTGATGGGAGAAAAGGAAACTAACACAGCCGACATGCCTACTATGTGCTACACACTGACAAGTATTTAATCTAATCTTAATTCTTACAAGGCCTCTACAAAGGATGCATTCTTATTTCAATTTCATACTGGAAAATGGGATTCCTAGAAGAGGAAAGTGGGAGTGATAAAAAAGTAAAGTGAAAGAGTGATTAAAAGAGAAAAAAAAAAAAAGTAGGGAGGGAGGTATTTGGGAAATGGAAAAAAAAAAAAAAAATCCAGAAAAGCTGAGTCTTTCTAGTTATCTTTAATACATAGGGCTTGGTCTGCCCGAAAAACAGAACAAGGAGGGAGAACACATTGACACTCTCAGTGGGTCCCAGATGAACAAACAAGATGGTTAAAAGGGGTCTTATTAAAAGGTTAAAGTAGCATGGACTGGATAGAGCTTACAGCCAGGACCTCACTCTGCAACAGGAAGTAAATCCTGCCTACTCAAGCAATCACATGTCTTGTTTTATCTGCTAACAAGTGGCTGTAGATTGAGAAATAGCTGATTTCAGTCTTCCTTCACACATGGGGAAAGGGAGAAGTCACAGGAAAATAATTGTTATTAACTAGCTGGGTAATGGAAATGTCACCTCAGCAAGAATCTTATTTAGACCTAGTAAGGATGTGCTTTTTCATTAATCTTAGAAGCTGGAAGTCTTGGACTCTAATGGTCTAAGGGAGGACTGTGATGTGGCCAACTGCGAATGAGAATACTAAAAGTCCTGAGAAAAATCTCATCTACTTTAAAGGGTTAGGGTTAAGGTTTACAAATTCAGCTACAGATGACCAAAAAGAAAGGCCTTTTTTAAAGGTACCCTAAATATCTATCTTCCTTTTGTCTCTGTCTTATGGCACAATAGTAGTTCCAGCTTTTTAACCTAAGGGCATAATGACCCTGTGCTAAGCACAGTTGTTTGAATTTTCTCCTTGAACATTCATAATTCATGATGTGGGTATGATTTTATTATTTTTTATTATTTTATTTTACAGAGAAAGAAAGGAGAAACTTAAAAAAACCCAGCGCTCAAACTGTTTTGCCAGTCTGACTCCTCCTCAAAAACACATAGATGCCAGAGGTGGACCCTTTGGTTACGGTCAATGTTCAAGGAGAAGTTATATAAGTGCATGGTCCCTCCTAGTGTATGACCATTATCTGATCATGTGAGCAGAGGGACTGCCATAAGATTCATCTGGAAGTCAAAATACTTGCCTGTATAATGATTATTCAACAATCATGTTGTTACGGCTCTTCCTCAAGTCTAAGACTTAATCAATTGTTGACATGAGGCTGTAAAAATGAAAAAGGGGTCCATCTTGCAGATACTACCCCTGCCACCCCTACTTTCCTCAAGTAGAGCATTTTCATCAAGTCTACAAACAACCTAGGGTGGAATCGTGCAGGCATCTAGAGACAAGATCCTGAGAGGGGCCAGGGCAGTCCTTGACCTCAAGTCATGCTAAAATAGGATTTTTCTCATCCAATTCTACTAGCCTATTTGGTAAGGCCAAGGCTGTGGTGAAATCCAAGGAGAATTTGCTTTGTGGAACTACAGGCACTGGGAGAAGGGCAAGCCTTCATTTCTCACCTCCCTTTCACCTCCTTTCAGTACTCCTTTTCAGATAGTACTTCTCTGATATGAGGGTAAGAGACAGTACAGACGGATGACTTACAGAAGCTGCCTTTTCGTGACAGAGATCACAGAGACGCAGGGTCTTACATAATCCTTATTATAGAGAATGTCTGTCCTTTTTGGTTGAATGAGAACAGACCCCTTTATGGCCCCAAATGATAGTTACCCATTCTCAGTCATTGGTGTGATTGTTGCAGCAACAAGACCCTGAAGTTTCTTCTGTGGGGAGGCCATTGGACTGCTGTCGAGTCTGGAAAACATACAATATAATTTCTCTCTTTCTTAAAGGGATGTCAATTAATGATAAAACTCCTGGGCAAAGTCCGTTCCTAGTTTAGAAGCATAAAACGTTCTTACGAGTATACAAATACACAGAGCAAGTGAAAGAAGGTAAAACTTTAGAGCCGAATTCTATTGGGGAGAAAACTTTAAGACAGGAGAGGGTTGACCTGATAAAATACAATGTGGCCTCTTATTCTCCTATGTAGATGATGGAGACAATTTGAAATCTCAAAGGTAGGGGCAAACAATGGCAGACTCCAGAAGGAGTTTGAACCAACTCAGGTAAGTGAAAGAAAAGAATCACAGTTGTCCCTCTGTATATGCAGGGATTCCTTCCAGGACCCCATGTATACCAAAACCCACGCATACACAAGTTACACACTTGGCCCCCACCTCTGATATGCGTGTGCATATCCCATAAATACTATATTTTTTCATCCTCATTTGGCTGGAAAAAAGCAAGTGGATTCATGCAGTTCAAACCCGTGTTATTCAAGGGTCAATTGTACTAGGATATAACTTGAAAACGGTCATAAAAAAGGGACACTCTTTTCTCTTTCCATATTTTCATTCTTACGCTAGAACCTCATCTAAAACCAGGACTTAATGTCTTGAGGTTTCAGAATGTTTTACATAACTATCTTGAGATTTACCTGATTTTGCCCAGTTTTGTTCAGTTTTCCTAGCTTTAGTTAACCTTGTAAACGACGTATCTACCTTTCTCTTCCCTACTAGAGCTGGCTCCCAGGACAGGGAATGTTTCATTTGCCCTTGGCTTTCCCTGCAGTGCTTGAGCCCCTGGTGTTCAACTCAAAGGTGACAAATATGTAGATGACTAGCTGAGGTATTCAGACTGGCTGGATGGTGGCTTCCATAGACAGGTAGCTCACGGCTGAAACAGTCAACCTCACACCACTCACAGGGGCCAAAGGACCCCTCACCATCTGGCAGAGTGCACCTGTCCACAATCAGTGCCACAACCAATACAGGCAATGAGAGGCAACAGGGCAGACTGGTTCACAGCCTGGCTTCTGTAGGCAGACTGCCTGGTTCAACTCCCAGCCCTGACATTTGCTGTAGAAGCATTATTATTATTTTTTAGCTGTGAGACATAAAAAGTCAGAAATGCTAGGCCAGTTATTGTGGTTTTCACCTCTAATACCAGCACTTTGGGAGGCCAAGGTGGGAGGATCGTTTGAGGCCAGGAGTTCGAGACTAGCCTGGGCAACATAGACTAGTCTCTACAAAAAAATTAAAAAAAAATTAGCCAGGCATGGTGGAGCATGCCTGTAGTCCCAGTTACTCAGGAGGCTGAGGCAGAAGGATCACCTGAGCCCAGGAGGTCAAGCTTGTGGTGAGCCATGATTGTGCCACTGCATTCCAACCTGGATGACAGAGTGAGACCCTGACTCAAAAAAAAAAAAAAAAAAAAGTCAGAAATGCAATTCAAAGCCAGAAATGCAGTGTTTAACAACTGAATAAGAAAATAAAATATAATCAGATAGTATTTGATGACAATCCTGCAAAACACAGTGGGCTTATAGCAAATACAGTGATGTCTACAGGCGAACAGAAAGAGGAATTGTTATAGTTCTGATACCATCGGCACATCTAAACACCCAATACCCACTATAATTAAATCTAACCTATAGAATGTTGGACTTAATTATGAACTATCTTGTTTACTTGCTCTTGTCTCATGACTGTTACTCTAATCTTCGCAAATAGGAAAATATACTTCTGGAGTACAGAGACACTGCATTTTCTGTATCCCGCAAGAGTCCTGGCTCAGAGGAGCTCTTAAGAAATATTTAGTGCTTTTGTGGAAACCCAGCATAATATCTCCCTTTACAAACAGACATGTTCCCAGCAAGACTTGCTCCTCAAATGAAGTCCAAATCCTGCATGTAGCTTTGTTCTGCATTGAAGGGCAGTGACTAGATCTATAGGATACTAGAGTTTCTGTGACTTTTTCTTTTTCACATATGCAATTAAGATCATGCTGGAAGTTTAGAAAGAGGGATGTAATCACTTGGCCCATGGGAAAACACAAGACGAGATTATAAAATGTGGTTCTAATCTTTGGGCTTCATGTGACCACCTTCATGACAAGGGCAGGTAACTTAGCCTCTGAGCCTTGGAGGTCAATAACATAGACCCTACCTCCCAAAGAAATGTCTGAGCATAAAATAAGACTGGTTTGATCGATCAATCAAGTCAATATGTCTGCTGTCTATCTTCATCTGCTACTCCTACAAGCATCTCAAGACACCCAAGGAGAACCTGCCATCTCATTATCTAAGCAATTTCTTCCTCTATTTCTTACTGTAGAGGGATTAGAGAGCCAGTTCTGGAGTCAGGGTCTGCATCTTGGCCTTATAACTTACCAGCTGGGTGACCCTGGGCCTGTTACTTAACTCCTCTGGGCTTTAGTTTCACCTTCTGTAAATGGGGATTATAGTAATCATATTTCATAGAGTTATTGAGAACATTAAATGAATTAATTCACACAAAGCAATTAACAACAGTGCCAGGCACTTAGTCCACATTCAGTGCCCTCCATGGTCTTGTCTGATGGGAAGAGGATGGTACAAGTATTCTAATTCCTTAACCAGCATTGCCTTCCCAGTCATCTCTGCTCTACCAGTGCCCCCTCTCCAACCCTCAACTGCTCTTGTCTACTCGGGTACTAAGTCATTTCAGTTCTGTTATCTTCTTCCCCTGCAATTTCTCCTTTCCCCCTTACTGCCCTTCTCATAACATGTCCCTTTGCTACTTCTTATCTAGACCAATAGGCACAACCCCAGGCCCAAGGGGCCCAAGAAGGTTCAAGTGATAAGAGTGCTGAGAGCTTGAGTGCAATGGCTTGATCACGGCTCACCTCAATCTTGACCTTTGGGGTTAATCTTTCTATTTTTCTGTAGCAACAAGGTCTTGCTATGTTGCCCAGGCTGGTCTCTAACTCCTGGGCACAAGCGATCCTCCTGTTTCAGCCTCCCAAAGTGCTGGGATTATAGGCATGAGCACCCGGCCTCATAGTCTTTGGATGCTTTTAGATGCATTTATTCCTTGCTTAGGGCAGTAACATTGATAGTCTTAGGTGGTCAGAAGCTCAGAGTGGCAGTTTTATATGGAAATACATTAAGTTAATTGCCATTTAAATGAGGTTTGATTAGTTTAAATTTCAAAACATGGGGACAGTGAGAATATAGAATGGGGCTGGGAATCACCGACCCAATCCTTACTCTTTTCCCATTCAATCCACACAGGCTGCCAGGTTAATCTTCCAGGACCAACAGCAACTCTGATCTTGTCTTAGCCCTATTCAGAAATGCCATTAGGATAAATACCAACTCACGGGTTTGAGTCTGTATGCAAATCTTCCTGCCTACAGTGTACTTGCCCAGCTGAGTTAACTGTGCCCTACCTACCTTTCACTGTCTGGCTACTCGCCTCTGTTCTCCCACTCCAATCCCTACTGTCTAGTCAACTTTTAAAGCTTACTTCATCCCATACCAGCAGGTGTAGCTAAAACAAATAAACAATAAAACTCACTTTAAAAGTCAGGAAATTCCCTGATCTCCAAGCTGAAAATAATTTCTTAACCCTCAGAATTTCCCCAAATACTAAGATTTTCATTAAAAACCTTACATCAGCCGGGCTCGGTGGCTCAGCCTGTAATCCCACGCCTTTGGGAGGCTGAGGTGAGTGGATTGCCTGAGCCCGCGGGTTCGAGACCCACCTGGGCAGTGAGACCTCATCTCTACAATAAATCAAAAAATCAGCCGGGCGTGGTAGCGCGTGCCTGTAATTCCAGCTACTTGGAAGGCTGAGGCGGAAGGATCGCCGGAGCCCAGCAGGCGAGGTTGTGGTGGCCGGGGGCGGCCACTGCACTCCAGTCTGGGCGACAGAGTGAGACTCCAACTCAAAAAAAAAAAAAACAAAAAAAAAACCTTACATCAGAGCTATAAGCAGGTTAGTTTTGGCTCCTCTCCCAGACTATATGTCATCTTGGGGCAGCGACAGCTTCAAAAATGTATCTTTACACAGAGTCATAAACTAAATAAATAATTAAAATTTGCTGACTTTGTGAACTGTGAGACTGCTATAGGAAGAGATTGACTGAAAGGATCACAAAAATTTTAACAGAGAATGACCCATATTTGTATTATTATTATTTTTTTGAGTTGGAGTCTCACTCCATTGCCCAGGCTGGAGTGCAGTGGCACGCTTACGACCACCCCAGCAGCCATCTGCTAAACTCTGGCGATCCTTTCACCTCAGCCTTCCAAGTAGCTGGAACTACAGGCATGTGCTACCACGCCTGGCTAATTTATTATTATTATTTTTTATTGTAGAGACGAGGTCTCGCTAAGTTGTCCGGGCTGGTCTCAAACCCGCGGACTTGGACAATCCACTCCCAAAGTGTTGGGATTACAGGCTGAGCCACCGAGCCCGGCCATGATCAATATTTTTAAAATTCCAGTTTTAAACAAACTTGGGGATGTTATGCTTTCAAATTATTCAAAGTTTGTATCAAAAGCAAATGGTTAAATATTCTCCAGTCTAAGGCTTAATGTGAATTTAGAATGTTATGACTGCAACACGTGGGAGGGAGTATTATTCTTGAAATCTTACACCTCCATCCACAGATAAGAACAATTTAGTGCAAAGAATTAAAGCGAAGTCAAAATCTTTTTAGAAGGGTAAAATGTTTTCTAAAGAGAGAATGAATATGAAAGTATCTCTGGGCAAAGAGAATCACAAGAGAGAAGTACTTGGAGAAGAAGAAATACAAACAGAGCCAACGGGGGGGGGGAGGAGAAACGCAACCAATTTTACCTAAAATGAAGGGGGAGGGGTATCCAATTTAATCGCTCAATCGCTAACTGGGATCATTTTGAGAAGAGGATCCTTTGGAGTCGGCGGTTCTGCCGCCAGGACAGAATCCGGGGAGTGGAT